ACCAAGACCATTCGGACCCGCCCTGGGCGTCTCAACCAATCCCAGACCCTCTGGGCACAAGACCCACCCTCCTCTAAAGCTCCACACTCACAAGGTTGGGCCACGCCCCCCGCGCTCAAACCTCGCCCGGAATAATAAACTCAAAACTCCAAGTCCCGCCCCTGAGCCCACGCCCCTCCTCCAGCAGTGCCCGCCCCTCTGCGCCCCGCCCCCGGACAGAAGCCAGTCCCGCACCTGGTGTAGGGGGGCGGAGGTGCGTCGTGCACCCCAGAAGCCGCCAAAGCCTGTTCATAGGTGGGGAGGCCTGGGGGTTGGGATGGCGGCAGGGGCGTAGGCAGGCCCGAAGAGCTCAGGGGACTCAGAGGGCTGATGAGCTCGGCCCTGGGGACAGAAGGTGCAGTTAGCAGGGGAAACCTACAGAACGACTTGGGAGCAGGAGGGAGGACTTAGGGGCACAGAGACTCTGAGGATGGTAGGGGAACAGGTGGAAGGTAGGTGAACCAAGGAGAAAGAGGGTCACCTTCAATCTGGCATGCAGAAAAGCACCGCAAGATGACAGGCAGACCCAGAAATCAACAACTGCTGAAAGAGACTCATTCACAGACACACAGGTACTCCAGATACAGGCAGAGAAATGGAGAAAAAGGCAGCTCCATGGACACACACAGAAACAGACACAACACAGAGATACCCATTTATAATAAATTATACTTATGAACCCCCATACCCACTACCAAGACTAACGCTCAGGCACCTTTTGGGACCCTGCCCCTGAGAAAGACACACCTAGATAACTCGTTCAGGCACACACAAACATTTGCTACAACCTGTACCATGGAACCCGACATACCACAGACACCCATAGCCCACAGGCTGCAGCATCACCAGATACAATAATCACAGTGATAATCACACAGAAAACTGGTACTGCAAAGACAGGCAGCAAACACTGATTAAGCTCCTACTGTGCGTCAGGTACTGAGGATATAGTCAGATAGACATGCCACAACTAGACACAATCTCACAGACTCACTCTCCACATGACTGCCTCCTCAGATCTTTCATCAGCACCCACCTGCCCCCAATCCTTGGCCCATCTCCTTGGGTTGGACCTTCCTCCCTGCCCCAGTCACCCTTCTCTCCAGCCCCCTAGCCCCTCCTCCCGAAGCCCCCTTACTCTTGAGGACTGGGTTGCTGGCCTCGGCCTCGTCGCCAGTGTAGATACCAAAAGGCTCCCAGGCCAGCCAGCACAATGAGCAGGATGCCAGATGTCAGTCCCACAACCAGGCCTGCTACATCCACTCGTCCACGCCCTGTGGAGGAGGGAGAGGGAGGGAGCCACTGCCTCAGGGGTTGCCACCCACCCCAACATCCAAATGCCTTTGCCCTGAGAGAGCAACACTGGCCAAGAAGCAAGGCAGAGCTGGGACCACTTCCTAGCTGTGTGAGCTGAGGCAACTCACCTCCCTCATTTCTCTGAGCTTCCACTTTCTGCTTTGTAAAATAGGACCATAACCTCTCTCTGACAGGTTGCAAAAATTCAATGAGATTAAATGCATAAAAGGCCTATGAAAGCCTGAGCGTCGAACTATGTACCAGGAGGTCACAGTTCAATTTCTGGTCAGGGTACATGGCCAGGTTGCAGGCTCATTCCTCAGTAGGGCATGCAGGAGGCAACTGATCAATGACTCTCTCATCACTGATGTTTCTTTCTCTCTCTCTCTCTCTCTCTCTCTCTCTCTCTCTCTCTCTCTCTCCCTTCTTCTCTCTGAAATCAATAAAAAACTTTTTTTTTAAAAAAAGGCCTATGATAACTTCATCTGGTACTAGAAACTATGGCAGTTGTTAGCTCCATGACCATAGAGGCCCCTCCCTGGACATGGGGTGTTTCAAGACTGTCTTAAGCAATCCATCTGCTAAGATTGCAGGTGACACACTACAGGTAGGGTAAGGAGGTCAGGTAGCCAACTCTCAAGGCCCCCCCACTGCACACTGCCAGATTTAACAAATAATAATATAGGACACCCCACAGAACTTTAGATACACAATGGATAATTTTTAAATATAGATATATACCATATATTCAATGGGACATACTTACACTAAAAAAATTATTCGTGAGTATTTGAAATTTAACTCAGGAAGAGGGTGGAGGGTGGTTCCTGTATTTTAACTGGCAACCCTGACCCCTCTGGAATGCAGCTCCTTTTACCAACCAGGCTACTGAGGGGCAATGTCTCAACTCTGGAGGAAGAGCAGAACCCACAGGAAGGCTTTGGAATTTACCAGAAAGCTAGAAAAAATTCATTTATAAATGGAGGAATTTAGGGACCTCCCTCCAGTAACAGATTGCTGGGTGTCTAGAACTCGCGTGGCCCCTTTCCTAAGGTGCAGCCCCTTTAGCAATCCAAGGCTTCGTGTCTGAAGAAAAGGAGGGGGGGTTGCAGGGAGGACGCCAGCTTCATGAGGCCTTGCTAGGTCTTGCTGCTGGAGACCAACTTTGGCACTGGATGGGGGGACTTTCCCCAAACAGTAAACCCCAGGCTTTTAGCACTTTTAGCAAAACGCTGCACTGACTGAGAAGGCAGGCCCTCTGACATGTTTCAGGTGGATTCCAGGAGTAGCCAGGCATCCATAGGCCTATAGCAACGCAGTTACCTCCCCTAGCAACCGGGCTCCAATGTGAGGACTCCAGCCCAGACCTAGGGCCTGTTGCTATGGTACATCCACCCCTAGCAACCAGGCCATAAGGGGGTGGGGCGTCTGGTGCCTGGAGGGGGTCCTCTGGTGGGCAGGAGGCCTAGGGTCCTGAGCCTAGCTAGGTGTGGTTGCTAGGGAGAAGGACTCCTTAGCAACCAGGCGGAGACTGAGATGGGGCTGTGGGGGAGGGGACGCCAGACAGGTAGTGAGTGCTGCGGGCTTCCTTGGTCCGGACTGGCCGGGCCTTGTTGCTAGGAGCAGCCCCTCCCCCCTTAGCAGCCAGGCTGCAGCCATGACAGGGCCTCAGAACTCAGAGGAGGGTTTGAGGGTGGGCTGGGCGAACTGGTCAGGTGAGGATGCACAGGCTCCCATGGCCTGGCCCGACCAGGCCCTGTTGCTAGGGAACAGCCCCCCTAGCAATCAAGCTGCAGAACGGTTGGGGCTCTGGCCTCCAGAGAGGGGCTCAGGTGGGCCAGCCCCAGGCTGTAACCTGCACTTACAGCTTTCTGGGAACGTGGCACCTCTTGGAATGAGGTGTGGTGGGTTCCTCAGGCCCCAGCTCTGGTCTCAAACTAGAGGATACTTTTAACAACCACCTCCAGGAACTCAGGGGTCACAGAATTTGGGTTGGGAGTGTTGGTTCAGCCCCCATGGGAAGGGGCTGCCTTAGCTGCACAAAACAAGAGGACTGGGCCTCCCACTCACCTGCTTTGCCATTGTAGATATACGTCTCCCAAAAGCGCTCCTTGAAGGGGTGAGAAGAGAGAAGGTTGAAAGACAGCTGTCAACTGGGAGATTCTACGTGCCCAAACCAGCCACCCAGATTTCGGAGACCAGAGGGTAGAGGGAGTTGAGGACCACGACCCCCCAGGGCCTGGAGAAGACAGGGACTCCAGGGCCCCCAGGCTCTCACCGTCAGAATATTGTCCTCAAAGTACTCCCGTGCCTCTTCCCAGGAACACTTCTCCTCATAACACTCCCGCTCCAGGTTCCCTGGCGTGAACAGCTCCAGGTCCCAGTGATTGGCTCGACGAATTCGTTTGTGGCTGCCCAGGAAGCTCTGAGCCTCTGGGGAGTCCAAGAAGACTTCTGGGCCCAAAGGACATGAGGGACAGAAAAATGGAAGACTCAAGACATGGAGGAACCTGAACCTAAGGGGAAAAAGAGCTATGCGGCCCTAGGATAGCAGGGGACTAGAGGTAAGGGTTCCAGGCTCAGGGAAGGTGGATGTCAGATCCTGGACACCAGCTCTTGTCCTAAATACTCACCTTGGTCTTGCTCCCCACTGGGTGAGGTGTCCAGGCAGGTGGTCAATCCCAGGTACAGCAGCAGCAGAGACGGGTGGCCCCCGCCCCTCATATTTTGTGGGCCACCTGGAATGAAGTGTGGTATAGATGACAACTGCCTCAGCCCCTAAGGAACGAAACAAGGTCTCCATGCCTGGACTCTGTGGTCCGTGGCGTTATAATAATTGCAGAGACTGCCATAGCCTGTAGTCTGGGTCATATACTGTTCAAGGTACTTTGCCTATATCAACTCAGTTTCATTTTCACAACAGTGCTATTGTTATTCCCATTTTATAGATGAGGAAACTGAGGCACAGAGAGGTCAAAGAACTTGCCCAAGGTATATGGTTTGCAAGATTCAGAAGCAGGATTTGAGCAAAGGCAGTGTACCTCCAGAGACTTGAGCATGAAGCTTATCTTTTCCCTCTCTGTGTTTGCAGCCCCCAGCACAGTTTTGACACACATGGTAGGTGCTCATAAACATGTCCATTGATGATCAGGATTCCTTCCTTCCTGCTTATTTCCACATGTAGCCCTCTGTCTCTCTATGCGCATTGCCACATCCAGCAACAGAGATCAAAGATTACAGGAGAGGCAAGAACAGGGTCCTAAATTCTTGGGTCCAGGGAGAGGAGGGGGCAGGGGCCCTGGACTCCTGGGCTTGGGGGCCCTGAATTTCTGGGACCCAGAGGAGCAGGGAGCCAGGATGTCAAGGTCCCCAAGCCAGGCTCTGCCTCCAGGGACATTCACTTACCTGCCCAGACTTGTGAGCACTGTCCCCTCCTCCTTAATCGGGGCCTCCTAGGCCAGCTGTGGCCAGCTGTGAAGGGGGGCAGGAGAGAGGGGAGGGAAGAAAAAGGAGGAGTTTCCCGATCTCGGCTCCCGGTAATCCTCCGTCTCGGTTTCAGGCAGAGGGGCGGGGTTTGCGACTACCTGCCCTGGGCGGGACTCAGGTAAGGGACAAAATATTTAAAGGGACCTTATGATGAAGGGCCTAAGGTCCAGGACCCCATAGGGAGGTTAGGAACTATGACACCGTGGGGCACTTAGGGAACTGGATAGGCGCCTCCTCCCCTCCTCCCTTTTCCCCAACGGAAGCTCGCCCAGCGAGGTAGGGAAATAAATGTCCAGGTCTCCAATATCTAGCTAGCTACATATCTAGAAAGTGGCAGGAACTGTACGCCTTGATTCCTAGGGATGGGTGGGTATGCCGTATTAAATTCCTGTTTCCTGGGGTGACTTGAATGGCTTTGCCTTGCGATTTCTCCATTGCTCCATTTATAAAATGGGCACAGAGGAGTTGTCCCCTCTCAATTGTCTCTTCACTTAAAACAAGAAAAGGGGGTGATCTATTTGAGGAAGTGGGCTCCCAATCTCTGGGGGAAGTGATCTGATTACCCCTTAAACTCGGGCTTGGAGAGACGCAAAGCTTTGGGTACAAGCAGGAAATCACCTGCCCCGGGAAGTACCTAGTAGATACTAAGCGTGCCCCTTTCTCACGCCAGCTTCCCTAACCGGAACCTTTGATCTGTCACTCACGTTTCCGGTGGGAGGAAGAGAAGAAGGGAGGACTTACCAAACCAGACCAGGTACCTCGGCAACTCGGGGTAGCTCTGCTTCCGGTTTCCTTCGCGGCGCGGAAGTGGGCGGAGCTAAGAGGGAAAACAGCGCTCCTTTCCGGGGTAGGAGAGCGGCTGAAGAAGCAGCGGAGGAAGAAGGAGTCGTTAGTAAGGTGAGTTCCAGGCGGTGGCGGGTGGTGTTTCTGGGATCGTCTACCCGCGGGCTAGAGTCCTGGGTCCTGACGGAGACAGGGACAGACTTGCGATAATACCATCGTCTCTCAGTGTCTTAGTTCCTCCTAGATTAGAGGAGTCTCTTCACTCCACTCTGGTTTGTTTTTTCTTGGTGTAATTGATTCATTGAAGAAACCGGGTCAGCTTTTCTATTGATCATCCCACCGTCTGGATTTGTCGTTTTGCTTCCTTGTCACCTCATTTCACTTACTCCTCTATGCCAGGGGTCTGCAGGCCAACCCCAAATCCTGCTGGCCTCCTTTTTTTTTTCTTTTCCAAAAATAAAAATTAAAAAAATTCGGCTTTATTGGAATATAATTCACCTAACATATAGTTCACCCATTACAATTCAGTGGTTTTCGGTATATTCGCAGAGTTGTGCGGCCATCACCATTGTCAGGTTTAGAACATTTTCATCACTCCTAAAGAAACCCAGCCCCCATTCCTTAGCTGCCACTCCCCATTTTACACCCGGCCCCCAGCCCCAGGCAGCCACAAATCTACTTTGTATCCCTGTGGACTGACCTAATCTGGACATTTCACATAAGTGGAATCATTTTTTCTGTCTGACTTCTTTCACTTAGCATAATGTTTTCAAGGCTTATCCATTTTATAGTGTGTGTCAGTACTTCTTTCTTTTTATGGCTGAATAATAAAAAGAGATTTTGTATGAGATATACCATATTTTGTTTATCCATTTATCAATCGATGGACATTTGCGTTGTTTCCACTTTGGGGCTATTAGGAATAATGCTGCTATGAACATTTGCGTACAAGTGTTTGTTGTGGACATGTTTTCATTTCCATTGTGAGTGGAATTGCTGAATGAAATGGTAACCCTATGTTTAAACGTTTTGAGAAACTGCCGGGCTTTTCCAGAGTGGCTACTCCATTTTACGTTCCCACCCTCCGTGTGTGAGGGTTGCAGTTTCTCCACACTTGTTATGAATCCGACTTTTTTATTTTAGTCATTCTAAATCAGTAGGAACTGGTATCTTATTGTGGTTTTGATTGCATTTTTTCAAAGGTTAATGATGAGGAGCATTTTCTCAGGTGCTCCTTGACCATTTGTATATCTTCTCTGGAGAAATGTCTATTCCAGTCCTTTGCTTATTTTTGAATTAGTCTTTTTATTACTGAGTTGTAATGTTTTAATATATTCTAGATACAATTGTCTTTTATCAGATAGATGATTTGCAACCACCACCTGTTTTTATACAGCCTAAGAATGGTCTTAACATTTTAACTAACTGGAAAATATCAAAAGAAGACTAATATTTTGTGACCTGTGACAGTTGTGTGTGATTCAGATGTCAGTGTGCATAAATAAAGTTTTATTGGAACACAGCCTTGCCCAATCATTTACATAGTGTCCATGGCTGCTTTTGCCATACAAGGACAGAGCTGAGTAGTTGTGACAGGGGCCATATGGCCCCAGAGTTGAAAATCTTTCCTATCTGCCTCTTTTTTATTTATTTTTTTATTTTCACTCGAGGATATGCTTAGAGAGAGGAAGGGAGAGAGAGAGAAATATTGATGTTAGAGAGAAACATCGATTGATTGCCTTCTGTACATGCCCAGACTAGGGATGTGCTCTGACCAGGAATGGAACCAGCAACCTTTTAGTGCACAAGACGATGCTCAACCATCTGAGCTGGCCCTATCTCACTCTTTTTGGTCAACAATGCCTGCTATATCCATTGACTTCCTAGAATCGGGAAGTTAAATCTAAAGGCTTGATTAGCCCAGCTGGTGTTGCTCAATGGTTGAGCGTCAACCTAGGAACCAAGAAGTCCCCATCAGGGCATATGCCCAAATTGCAGGTTCAAACTCCAGCAGGGGGCGTGCAGGAGGCAGCCAATGGATGTTTCTCTCTCATCGATGTTTCTATTTCTCTATCCCTCTCCCTTCCTCTCTAAAAATCAATAAAAACATTTAGAAATAAAAACAAAGGCTTGATTAAATTTAGGTTCTGCCATTTTGACATGAGTATTTCAGAGCTGGTAGGTTCATGTTGCATAACTTGTCCCACTTTGGGGATGGTGAGTTTGGTGGGGGGGGGCTTCAGTTGGTATTTATGGATTTAATGTTTCCTCTTCCCCCAAATCATGTGTTGAAGTCCGACCCCCAGCATAATTATTTGGAGATAGGGCCAAGTAGTTAAGGTTATATGGTGGTGGCTATGATGGAGGTAACTCAGGGCATTATCAGAACTCAAGCAACACCTAACTTAGCCTGGAGAGTCAGGCTTCCCAGAGAGGTGATTTTTCTGTGGAGCCTGGGAGGAGGAAGGGGACAGGATTTCCAGGGGAAGGACCAGGCACACACTAGCAGTCCTGTTCACACTGAGAGTCCAGCATGGTACCTGAGGCTGCCTCTGCCAGGTGGCAGGGTGATAGCCAAGGCCAGACCTGGATACCTGGGTCAGACCCAGCTGAGCGACCTTGGGCACCATCTCTGTGCCTGTTTCCTTGCTTGTAGCAACCGTTTGGGCTGTTTCGGAATTCGGTGGCGATAATATGTAAATGCTTAGAGCGGGGCCAGTTTCACCAAACCTCTTAAATAACTGTCAGCCGTTATTAATAGAAAATCTCAGGCTTGCATTTGCTCTTAGGGAATTCTCTCCTTCCCGCTTTCAACATGTCCTGCTTCTGTCTGTGATTTCCTTCAGTGTAATTAGCCCTCTGGGTTCCTTTACCACAGAGGCCTCTGCCGCCTGGGATGGCCTTCCCGGGAGAGAGGCTTGCACACCTTTAGGGTCTCAAAGGAATCGCTGACCCTGCCAAGAGGTTAAGAACCTCTGGTTCAGGATTCACACAACAACAAAACGGTTGGGAGACAGTCAAGGAGGGTGATGGTAAGGCGTTATTAACGTGCTGATGGCACTGTGGTCATGTTGTTAAAAGCCCCCTGTTGGCACCGTGCTGTCCGCTCTCCGATACAGTAGCTCGTCTCCAGAGGCCATGGTGCGCTTTGCTAAGTGGCTGTTGCCACTGAGGGACCGACTTTGAAATTTTTTTTAACCCTCACCCCAGGATGTGTTTATTGAGTTTAGAGAGGGGAAGTGAGAGAGAGAAACATTGATGTGTGAGAGAAACAGCGATTGGTTGCCTCTCGTATGCGCCTCAGCTGGGCGCTGAACTCATAACCTAGGCAGGTGCCCTGACCGGGAACCGAACTCACAACCTTTCGGTGTATGGGATGACACTGCAACCAACAGAGCCACACCTGCCAGAGGAGGACCGACTTTTTAAATTATTTTATTTTATGTAAATTTAAGCACCAATACCTAATTCAGTTATTGGAAAGCTTCTGAGTGTATTTGGAACATCTGGGGTACATGAATATATGTTTGCACCAGTACAGTTTATGAAACCTAAATAAGCACAAGTATCTGCAATGAAACTTAGTGTCTTAATGGAGATGTGTTGAATGGATAAAGTATGCTCTTGATTTTGAAGACTTTGTACAAAAACAGGAATTTTCAGATTGTGTCCTCCCTGGGAGGACTGAGAATTGTCACACGGTTGAAAGAGCAGCTCCAGAGTCTGGCTGCCTAGGTTAGAGTCCCTGATCTGCCACTTCCCAGCTGGTGGTTGATTCTATGAGTCTGTCTCCTTCCTGTGAAGTGGGAATGATGATAAAGAATAGCTGGTATTGCTTTGATGTGTCCTTTTCAAAACACTAGTGACAGCAATGGCACTAGCTCTGTTTTCTGTTTTGAAACTTGCCTCACTGAGGAGACAGTGTAGCCTGTGGCTGAAAGCTCAGATTCCTGAGTTTCAAAATCCTGGCACTGCTGCCTGCCAGCCCTTCAACCCTTAGCCAGTGGTTCTCAAACTCTTTGGTCTCAGGATCTTAAAAATCATTGAGGACTCCAACGAGCCTTTGTTAGTGTGAGCTCTGTCTATTAAGACTTGTCCTATCAGGGCCCTGGCAGGGTAGCTCAGTTGGTTAGAGAGTCTGTCCCATACACCAAGGTTGCAGTTCAATCCAAGAATCAACCAATGAACGCATAAGTGGAACAAGTCAGTGTTTCTCTCTCTGTCTCCCTCTCTCTAAAATCAATAAATGAAAAAAATTCATTAAATAAAAAAAGAGCCCCAGCCGGGTGGCTCAGCTGGTTGGAGCATAGACCCATATACCAAAAGGCTGCAGGTTTGATTCCCAGTCAGGGCAGACCCAGGTTGCAGGTTCGATCCCCAGTTGGGGCATGGACAGGAGGCAACTGATGGATGTGTCTCTCTCTGTCGCTCACTCTCGCTCTCCCCCTCTCCCTCTTCCCTCCCTTCCTCTTTCTCTCAAGTTAATAAAAACATATCCCCTGGTGAGGATTAAAAAAAAAAAAAAAAAAAAAA